TGTCTTTATTTGTGAAAAACTGAACACGGTGCTGATTTACAGACTCATCTGAATTGAATGTTATACCACACAAGGAGTTTTGAAGACAGCGAAACAAGTGGAAGTCCGATGGCACAAGGTCAGGCGAGTATGGTGGGTGTGGCAACACGTCCCATACAAGTTCCAATAATTTTTGACAGGTGATCAAACTGTGTGTGGTCTTGTGTTGTCGCGATGGAACACAACTTCTTTACAACTAACAAGTTCAGGACGTTTCTGGATGATGGATTCGTTCAAACTGTCCAATTGCCGACAGTACACATTCGAATTGATTGTTTGGTTCCTTAGGAGCTCAAAAAACACAACACCTTTAAAATCCCACCACACTGAGAGCATAACCTTCCTCTGAAGGACGTCTGCTTTTGATGTCGTTTGAAGCGAATCATCACGTCGGGACCAAGACCGTTTGCACACCACATTGTTGTAAACAATCCACTTCTCACCACCAGTTATCAGTTGCTTCAAAAAAGGATTGTTTTCCTCACGTTTAATGAGCATATTGCAGATGTTTCGTCAAATGAACTTCTTTGAGTTCATGCGGAACCCAAATATCGAGCTTGCTTACGTACGTATGTATCCCAGCTTCTTCAGGTGGTCGTGAACGCTTGAATGATGGATGTTCAACGTTTCTGCAATCTCTTGTGTCATGTAACTTGGGTTTGATCAATGCCTTTATTTTGTCATCATCAACCTCGGTGGGCCTCCCTGACCGAGGAGCGTCATTGAGATCAAAATCACCAGCACGGAATTTTGTGAACCATCGTTGGCACTGACGTTCTTGTACAGCACTCTCACCGTAAACTTTATGCAACTTTTCACAAGCTTGACATGTGTTCTTCCCTGATGAGACCCGCTCGTCAACCAAAGCTACCCGAGTGGACTGGGTGGGAGATTAGAAAAGAAAGACACAGAGACAAAAGCTGGGATCAGGAGGTCCACTGACCACTGATGGCGGAGCAATGGCCACATTTATGTTTTGCAGAAAGCTTGTATAGTAGCAAGCAGCTGCAGAGAGCAGTAAGCAGCTGCAGGGGGTTTGTTTATCAGGTTAGACAGTAAGTCACATCCTGTTATGCACTTCTCAGAGTGCACAAGCAGGTTACATTTGTTATGCACTTTGCAGAGGCTCCTGCGGCTTCAGTTATTCTTTTGTCTTCTTGGATCAGTGAGGGTGGAAAGTTCCCTGAACTGTTCCATAGGCTGTGAGGACCCTGTCAGCTCACAGCCTACTCCCCACACTTCCCTTTATGGAAGTAAAACAGTAAAATATGGCAAAAAAGCAGTTTAGTCTTCCATATTAAACTTGTTGTAAAATCTCCAAAACTCAACCAAATCGCTCAATTTTTAATTTAGAATGAAGCTAGAACTGTCAGCTGTCAAATGACATAGAAATAACATAGGTACGAATGACTCTAGTACTTCCAAAAATGAACTAGTGCCATCTGTTGCAAACATGCGTCATGACTTTTCCGACAACCCAATGTAATCTATTGCTTCTCACTTCTGTTCAGTGCTGATCTTACTCAGTTCATTTTTCTGTGAAATGGGGATCACTTGCTTCTGTCCCCCTTTGCCAAGGCATTTTGAAGATGAAGTTCTCAAGTTAAAGCTGCTTTTTAGGGCCGGCCGAGTGGCACGTTGGTTAAGAGTTGGCTTGGGATGCCTGGTGTGAGCAGCAGGGTCCTGATTTGGATCCCACATGAGGGACAGTGAAACTGCGCCCTCTACAGCTAAGATGGTGAACAACAGCTCGACCTGGAGTTGGGCTTCTGTGAGTCGCCGGCAGCGGTGGCATAGACTGTAGTGGGCTGCAGTGGGCTGCCGTGAGCTACTGTGAGTGGCTGGCAGCTGCTGTGAGCCACTGTGAGCCACCATGAGCGGCTGTCCAATGGCCGGTGAGCAACTGCCTCACTCGGGAAGAGCGCAATGATAATACAAACATGGGCCAGTGAAGCAACGTCCTCCACAACTATACTGAAGAACAAAAGGACAGCAACTTGTCTGTTCCCCTTCCCCGATTCCCCAACACTGTTCCCCTCCCTCAATTCCCCAATAAAATCTTAAAAACAAAACAACAATTGCTTTTTAATATGGTGCACTAGGCCTAAGACTCTTTCTAAAATTCAAAGCAGTGAATTTTTTGACTGGCTGGTCAACGTGGTGTGGGGCAAGGAGCCGGGAGAGTAGACACCTAGTTTGTAATTATGTATCTAACTGTGTGACCTAAGCAAGTCAGTTGCCTGTACTGAGCCAAGGTTCCTGGGGATAACATCCATCTGACTGGGTGGCACAGTGACAGTTGGCTGTATCCAAAAGTCTTGCTTCATTTGCCCTACTGTTGAGCTGTTGCAAAGCNATGTAGGGAACAGCAGCGGCACTGAGGAATCAAGCCGTCACCGGTGACTCACGGCAGCCCAGCTCCAGGTCTAGCTGTTGTTCAGCATCTTAGCTGTGGAGGGCAGTGTCACTGGCTCTCATAAGTGGGATCCAAACCAGGGCCCTATGGCGTCCAAAGCCAGCTCTTAACCACCACATCACACGGCCCGGCCCTAAACATTTTTTATAGGATTGTGTTTTTAAGGGCTTAGAGCAATGCCTGACAGAAAGTGCTATGAGTTTACAATGATGATGATGATGATATGATGTTGTCCTGGTCAGCTTGTCAAAATTCAAACTTCCTACTGTGACCCCTACCTAATCTCTACAAGCCTCTTCCATTGCTCTTGAACTCCAAGCCACGTTGTCCTTTGCCTGTTCCTCATAAGAACCTTCCTTGTACCTTTGGCCTCAAAGCCTTTTGCACATGCTAATATCTGTCTACCTGGCTAGATGATAAGCTTGTCCCAAACAACAAGTAGATGTTCGATAATATTTATTCAATTAGTGGATATCTACTACAAAAATCAGGACCAGTGCCTAGTGCAAAGTCTGACTTCTGTTTTATTCTACTACTATTCTATTCCTTTCAAGTCCACCCTATGTTTTTTATTCTGTTCCATTTCAGTGTTCAAGTCCATTCAAACCATTACATTTTAAACAATTGATTCCACTGAGCCCCAACTTTAAAAAAAAAATACTGCGCTGTTCTATTTTCACCAGTGGAGGAGGCATTAGCAAAGTTGATGAGTTCTGATGTCCTCATGGGTACAGAGGATCCACAGGAACACAGAAGCAGTAGAATGAGAAAATGATTCTTCTATTTGGACTCCATTGAAAATAAAGTCATATGTTTAAAAAATCTTATTAACCTTTTAACATCTGTAGGATCTGTAGTAGCACCCCCTTTTCATTCCTGATATTGGTAATTTACATTTTTTTTCTTTTAATTGCTTGAGAGAAAACAGAAATTACTAACATTTTATTAATCTGTTCAAACAACCAACTTTTGACATTGTCAATTTTCTCTAATGTATGTTTGCTTTTTATTGCACCAGTTTTTGCTCTTATCTTTATAATTTCCTTCCTTCTACTTTCTTAGGATTTAATTTGCTGTTCCTTTTCCAGCTTCTTGATATGGAAGCTCAGCCACTGATTTTCAACTCTTCTGATCTATGCATTTAGAGCTGTAGATTTTCCCTAAGCACTGCTTAGCTACATCCCCAAATTTTGATAGTCTTTTGGAAATCAACTCAGCCTATTCTTCCCATTTCTAAATGCCCTGCCAGCTCAGACTGACTCCTTAGATCGTGTTTTGTATCTGGGGAGCTCCATCCTTGTAAATTCAAGGATTAGCAGGACTGGTTCTCTTAAGGAACAGGAAGAAGGCCAGTGTGCTTAGAATCCAAGGGTGAGGTGAGTGAGGCATGAGCAGGAGGAGAAGGCAAGGGCCAGATCATGCAGCATTGTTGAGGTAAGGTTAGGGAGGCTGATTTATAAAAAGATGATCAAGGCTCACTGTGTGCCAAGCCCTGTTCTAGGAACTATACAGAATAGAATCCATTTTATTCCTCACAACAACCCTATACAGATAACAGAGTGCCCAGACCATCATGCCCTCCCTCCTGCCTCCTTCACAGGGAAGGCTACTCTCTTTCTACAAAGTCCTCTTCAAGGTCCCCCTCATGGTGACCCCTGAAATTCTTCTGGCAAACCTTAAGGTCAGTGCTGTTTCCGGGCCCCTCCCCATACTGCCCCATCCTGATGTCCCTGGCTGAACTGACTCCCCTGAGCCACCCTGAGGGAGCAGAGCAGCCAGCCCTCAGCCAGGCCCACCCCTGCAGACATGTTGCGGCTGACGGTGTGTTAGAGCAGAGCCTTTCCATGTCCCTCTGCTGCCCTCTGCTTGTCTTTGAGAGGAAGAAAGCGAGAGGAGGAGGGAAAAATGGATGTCAGCATACCAGGATAGCCGGCATAGAAAGGAAGCTGGTTACCAGGTCTGAGCTAGAGGATACCCAGCCTTGGTGCCAACACCCGTACCCCAGGCCCCTAGGGATCACCCCGTTCACCTGCTTCTCTGAAGTCCTGCTCCACATTCTGGCTAACAGCCTGGATGGCAGACGGCACAGCATGGCACACTAAGTGTCCTTGCTCTAAGCACTCCAGACAACCTTCTGGATCAGCACCTGGAGATCAAGGGGCAGGAATGGGAGGGCCACAGGCTGAGGACTGCTAGTGGTGACAGAGGTAGGCGGTGCAAGTACAAGGACTCTGATATAAAACTCAGGACCTTGAAAGTAAAAGCTTAAGGTGTGTCTTAGCCAGCTTGAGCCACCATAAAAAAGAACAATATAGCTTAGGTGCCTTAAATAACAAAATTTATTTTCTCACAATTTTGGATGCTAGAAGTCGAGGATTAGAGTGTCAGTATGGTCAGGCTTTGGTTATGGCTCTCTACCTGGCTTGCAGATGGCCACCTTCTCACCATGTCTTCACAGGGCAGAGAGAAAGAGCAAGCTTTTTGGTCTCTTATTATCAGGGAACTAATCCCATCATGAGGACCCCACCCTCATGACTTCATGTAACCCTAATCATCTCCCAAAGGCCCCATATTCTAATGCCATCACATCGGGGGTTAGGGCTTCAACGTATGGATTCAGGGAGGGAACACAAACATTCAGTTTGTGAATATGGTATAAGGGATTACTTTATAATAATACAGAAAAACCACCTATCCCGAAGTATTGGGGCAAGGGGCTTTTATTCTAGGGTGTTAGGCCTCTGATCTCTTTAAGGGTGTGTCTCCAGAGTGTGAGATCTCTGAGTTGTTTGGAAGCCTGTGTCCAGGGTGTGAAGGTAGGAGCTGGGTAAGGGTATGAACACTTTGACTTATTATGGGTCTGTTTCTGAGCCAAGATCTCTAAGCTGTTAAGTCTTCTGTGCCCCAAGGTGCAATGTTCCTGAATTCTTTTGGGGTGTGAGCTCTGGGGTCTTCCTTATCCCCAGCCATCCCTCACCCCACCCTCACCCTCCACTGCTAAGAGACGGGGAACATTCATCAGCCCGACTGCTGTTTGCCTTAAGCTGAGCCGAGGCCCCATCTCTTGTGGGTTTCTTGTCCAGTTCCTGGGACATGTGAGTTTAAGATTCTTATTCCTAGACATACCCTAAATAACTCCCTCCTCTCATACACACAGACATGCAAATGTCATGTGTTATGGATATTGTTTTTAGCGTATGAGTTTCCTTTATAAAGAGGTACACAAATAATACATGAATATAGGCTTGTTTAAAAGGTTCCAATAATACGTCAGTATATGGACTACATAGGTCATCCCCACCTCCACTCTTCAAAAATGACCACTGGGGTCAGTTTCTGGTGTTTCCTTCCAGACACACACACACGCATGCACGCACGCGCACACACACACGCACACACACATAACCTGCTCCCACCTGCTTTTCCTTATCAAAAACGTGTCCTGTGGAAGGAAGCCCCACCCCTGCAGGTACACACAGGTCTCACTCATTTTGTATCACATGTGGTAGGTGCTCTGTGGTATATAACATGAACCCCCCCCCCCATTCATCTCTGCAACAGTCATTGGCCGTAAGTGGACATTTACAAGGCTTTCCCATTTGAACGCTCCTACCAGATTTGCCCACACAGCTCTGGGCATGTGTGTGTGTTAGAGTTAGAAGTGTAATTGCTGGGTCGAAGGGTTATTTTGTTCAACAAACACCTAATGTGTGTGTTCTATGTACTGAGCACTGTTCTAGGTGCTGGGAAGACATCAGAGAACAAGACAGAAAAATGTCCCTGCCCGCATGGAGCTGGCATTTCTAGTTAGGAAGAAGAAGGGTATCCAATTTTTATTTAGATGCTTCACAAGGTCCTGGAAGGTTTTCCTCCTATCAGTGGTGCACTTACTGGTTTCCTCTCCACTACTGTGGGGCAGCGTCTGCAGCAGGAGGTTGCTGCCTTGGCCTTTGTTCTGTACAAGATCTGCAGGGGCTGGGGCTGGGGCGGTCTATTTGTGGATATGGGACATGTGTGCACATGTGCATGGTTGGGGAGAGGGACATGGAAATTAAGTGGTCAACTGGGGAGAGTGAGGGAAAATAGGAAGAGAAGAGACCACTTACTGGTGTTGGAGGGAGCTGGGGACACTGAATTAGGCCACACCCTCCCAGGTCACACCCACAGAGGATGTAGGGAACAGCAGCGGCACTGAGGAATCAAGTACTGTCTCAGAACATACCATTGTGCGATTGTTATGTGGACACTCCTGGGGCCACACGGATTGGTGTGTGGACACCCTTGGGGTCACAGAGACAGGAGTATGGACACCACATGAAGTGACACGCACAGAGGTGTGGACGGACTTGTGTTACTCAGACGGGGATCTGGGCATTCTAGGAGTCATACACACTGGGGAGTAGACACTCCTGGAATCACACACACTGGAGACTGCACTCTTGGGGTCACCCAGAGTGGGGCATAGACACTTCTGGGGTCAGATTGACTAGCATGCTAACACTACTGTAATCAAACTGGAGTGTGGGCAGTCCTGGGGTCAAACAGATTTGCACGTGGTTACATTTGGGGTCATACACACTAGGGAATGGACAGTCCTGAGTCACCTAGACTGGGTAGTGGACATTTGTAGGGTCACACATACTGGGGTATGGACATCCGGAGGACTGATTGCCTAGGTTGTGGACACCTCTGAGGTAACACAGATTGGAGTATGGAACCTCTTGGGGTCACTCAGACTGGGGTGTAGTCTCTCCTGGGCTCAGACTGCCTAAGGTGTGGGTGATTGTGAGGTCACACAGAGCGGGTGTGCATAGACATGGGGTCACAAAGCTCGGGGTTTGGACACCCCTGGAGTTCACTCAGGCTAGAGTGTAGACAGACATAAGGTCACTCAGATAGGGGTGTGAACACTCCAAGGGTCACACATACTGAAGAAGCAAGATTCCTGGGGTCATCCAGAGGTACTTTGGGTCACTCTTGTTGTTACACACACTGAGGAGTGGACACTCCTGAAATAACACACGTTGTGGACTGGACACTTCCTCATGTCACACAGACTGGGGTGTGAACATCCACAGTGTTACACAGAGGAAGGGACACTCCTGGGGTCAGAGTGACTGAGGCTGGGACAGTCCTATAGTCACATAGATTCTGGTGTGGATCTCAGTGAAAGGGGCATGGACATTCTTGTGGTCAAACTAATGATGAGTTGGCACCCCTGGGGTCAGAGTTGATGTAGGACATTCCTGTGGTCACACAGAATAGTTGATGGACCCTCCTCTGTATGGACTGGGGAGAGGACACTGCTGAGATCAGAGATTGTGGTGTGGTTGGCCTTGGGGTCACACAAACAGGTATTTGGATACTCATGGGTCACACACACTGTGAAGTCAACAGTCCTGGGATCACTCACATGGGGGTTTGAACACTCCTTATATAGCCTGGGGGTGTGGACACTACTGGTGTGACACAGATTGGGGTTTTGATACTCCTAGAGTAACACACTGGGATGGGGACACTTCTGGCATCACACACCAGGGTGTGCACACTCATGGTGTCACATAGATTGGGGAGAGGCCACTCCTGAGGCTACACAGACTGGGGAGAGAATGATGCTGGAGATGTGTATTTGGAGACCACTGATAGAGAGAGGAAAGTTCAGATACCACATGTTAAAGTAGCTAGACAAGGAGACAAGGAGGCTGTTAGACTGAGGTGGCTCTGATACCTTGCTAACCTACATAAACAAACCAAAACCCACCAGAGTCAATGCACTTGTATCAAAGAAATCTACATTGAAGAACAACCGATCACAAAGCCATGTAGGCTTTCCCAAATAAGGCAGCCTTAAGCTCTAGCCAATCAAATGATCGCCTTGCCTTGCTTCTGCATCTGCCCTATAAAAGCCTTGCCCCACTCCAGTCGTGGAGTGTTGCTACCCACTTCTCGGTGCTGCCCAATTCTAATCAGTATTTGCTCAAATAAACTCCTGAAAATTTATATGTGTTTCAGTTTGTCTTCTAACACACCTAAGCCATGTATATGACAGAGAGGCTCTAGAATGTGGGCCTCACTTTTAATTGCCACATAAGACCCACAGACCGCCTCTTTTCATGGCTATTCAGGCTGCCAGAAGAAGAGAATCATCTATTGGGTTGTCGGAAAAGTCATGATGTATTTTTTTCTATGTTTTTTATTATTTATTTTTATTTTTATTTTTTTTTAGCTGAGCCATCCTGCTACCTATTGGCAGCTTAGAGGCAGCTCAGCTTGGGCCGGACATCGAACCGCTGTTGCTCAGAGCTCAAATTCTTGAGCGAGCTCTTAACAAACTGAGCCACTCAGCAGGCCCTTGTCTATGTTTTTTAAAGGTCATTTATTTATATAA